CAACATCCGCCTCCCAGGTTCAAGCAGCTCTTCTGCCTCAGTCTGCCGAGTATCTGGGATTACAGATGCATACCACCATGCCCAGCTAATTTTTGTATTTTTAGTAGAGGTGGGATTTTGTCACATTGGCCAGGCTGGTCTCAAACTCCTGACCTCAGGTGATCCACCTGCCTCAGCCTCCCAAAGTGCTGGGTTACAGGCATGAGCCATCATGCCCTGCCATTGTTTTTTTTTTGTTTTTGTTTTTGTTTTTGTTTTTTTTGAGACAGAGTCTGGCTCTGTGGCCCACTCTGGAGTACGGTGTTGTGGTCATAGCTCACTGTAACCTTCAACTCTTGGAATCAAGCAATTCTCCCTCATCAGCCTCCCAAGTAGCTGGAACTACAGGCATGTGTTACCACACTTAGCTAACCTTAAAAATTTTTTATAGAGATGGGGTCTCACTATATTGCCCAGGCTGGTCTCAAACTCTTGGCCTCAAGGGATCCTCCAAACTCGGCCTCTCAAAGTGCTGGGATTACAGGCGTGAGCCACCACGACTGGCCCCTATCTCGGCTTTGGACAGGCCTTCTTCACTACGTTTAATCATTTCTAGCTTTTGATTTAAAGTGAGAGACATGTGACTCTTCCTTTTACTTGGACACTTGGAGGCCATTTTAGAGTTATTAATTGGCCTAGTTTCATTATAGTTGTGTCTCACAGAAGAGGGAGGTGCAAGGAGAAGGAGAGAGACAGGAAAATGGCTGGTCAGTGGAGCAGTCAGAACACATATAATGTTTATCAATTAAGTTTGCTGTCTTCTGTGGGCACAGTTTATGGTGCCCTGAAATGATTACAATGGTAACGTCAAAGATCACGCTAGCAGAGATAATAATGATGAAAAAGTTTCACATGTTGTGAGAATTTCCAAAATGTGACACAGAGACATGAAATGAGCACGTGCTGTTGGGAAAATGGCACCAACAGGCTTGCTGGACACAGGGTTGCCACACACTTGCAATTTGTAAAAACCATAGTATCGGCCCAGGCGGGGTGGCTCATGCCTGTAATCCCAGCACTTTGGGAGGCCAAGGCGGGAAGATCACTTGAGGCTAGGAGTTCGAGACCAGCCTGGCCAAGATAGCGATACCCCCGTCTCTATTAAAAATACCAAAATTAGCTGGGCATGGTGGCGCACGCCTGTAGTCCCAGCTACTCGGGAGGCTGAGGTGGGAGAAGCACTTGAACCTGGGAGGCGGAGGTTGCAGTGAGCCAAGATCATACTACACACTCCAGCCTGGGCAACAAGAGCAAAACTCCGTCTCAATACATAAATGAATGAGTGAATAAATAAATAAATAAATAAATAAATAAAACAATAGTTGGGAATGGTGGCGCATGCTTGTTGTCCCAGCTACTTGGGAGGCAAAGGTAGTAGAGATTGCCTGAGCCCAGGAGGTGGAGATTGCAGTGAGCCAAGATCATGCCACTGCACTCCAGCCTGGGTGGCAGAGCAAGACCCTCTCCTCCACCACATACCCCCACCCCCGGCAAAAAAAACCACATAGTATCTGTGAAGGACAATACAGCTGAGTGCAATAAAATGAGGTGTGCCTGAAATTGAATTTATTATTGAATGAATGAAAGTTCTCTCTCAACTCAGGGTTTTTGCAGAGGCTGGTCCCTTAGCCTGGGATGCAACTCCCTAATGTGCCATCTGGCTCACTCCTACTTATCCTTTGGATCTCAGGTCAGGTGCCCCCTCCTCCAGGAAGCCCTCCCTGACTCCCAGGCTGAGTCAGGCATCCCCCTTTGTGCTCCCACAGCCCTCTGGGGTCCCCCATCCCAGAGCTGCCCCCTCTGTCATCATTATCTTGGGATGGATCTGACTCCACCACTGGACTCTGAGTCCTGTGGGGGCAGAACCTGGGGCTGTCTTGTTCATTGCTGTGTTTCCAGCATGCAGATAGGCAGGGTGCAACCCCTCCCTGGCTGGTGCTCTGAGGAGCTGCTGGGGGCATCCTTGGGAACATGCCAGTCTGCATTGGTGCATATGTGCAGGCAGCGGTGGCTCTCTTTCTTGGTCCACAATCATCCTGGGCTGCAATTATCTCCATTTTCTTGGGTCTGGAGCCCCTGAAGCAGTGCCTGGGTTTGATGCATCTCTGGGGCCCTAGCTGCTGCAGCAGAATGAATGAGGTTCCTGAATGGAGTCAGTGGGTTTCGGGGTTTCTGTATATGTTGTCAGTGTGTAATTGTGTCTCTTAAAGTCTGCACGTCTGTGTCCCTGAATGAGGGTGTTTGTGAGGCTTTGGTAACTGTGTGTTTGTCTGAGTCTTGCTTTCCTTCAATGACTCTGTTGTTTTGTTTCGTTTAGAGACAGAATCTTGCTCAGTCACCCAGGCTAGAGTGCAGTAGCACGATTATGACTCACTGCAGCCTTGAACTCCTGGGCTCAAGCAATCCTCCTACCTCAGCCTCTTGAGTAGCTGGGACTACCAATGTGCACCACCACACCTGGCTAATTTTTTTTTTTAAGAGATAGGGTCTTGCTGTGTTGTCCAGGCTGGTCTCGATCTCCTGGGCTCAAGAGAACCTCCTACCTTGGCCTCCTAAATTGATGAGATTACAGGCATGAGTGAGCCATTGCACCCACCAGCAATGACCCAATTTGTATCATCAATTTTCACACTTGTCTGGGGAACTGAGAGTCCCCGGGTGGAGGGTGGAGTGGTAGCAGGGCCAAGCCCTTGGACACCAAGCTGTGAATCTGAGAGTTTGTCCTGGGGGTGATGGAGACCATGGAGGATTTTGAACAGGTCTCAGTGTTAGAAAGATCTCTCCGGAGCCTTCAGCGGAACTGGAGGGCCCCGTGTGAGTGGGTGGTGAGCCCATGAGCAGCTGGGGTCTGGAGTCCCTGCTCCACCTCCAGGCCCCGCCCCCTGACATCACTGTCGCATTATTGCACCAAGGCTGGCTGACCAATAAGCTGCTGCTTGCTATTACAATGGGTCCTAGCAACCGCGTCTGACCTTGGGTTAACAGGGAAGGAGATCCTATCAGTGGGGAGAGTGTGAGGGGAGAGGGAGAGCCTGCAGGGCAGGTGAGTCCCCCAGGGCTCTCTCGCTGGGCCCCTGTGCATGTGCGGAGCAGGGGCTTGCGGTCCTAATCTGGACTCTCTCAGCCCAAATTCCAACCACTGACTCGTCTGCCCCTTGCTGCCAGGACCTGTTCCAGGTTCCCACTCTTCCCACCCAGACCATACTAGGGAGAGGGCATAGGCAGGAACCCTTCTGACCCAGGATAGGAGGCTCAGATCTGGAGGCAACAATGTCTTTATTTATTTATTTATTTATTTTTCTAAGACCGAGTCTCGCTCTGTTGCCCAGGCTGGAGTGCAGTGGCGCAATCTTGGCTCACTGCAACCTCCGCCTCCCGGGTTCAAGAGCTGGGACTACAGGCATGCGCCACAACACCTGGTTAATTTTGTATTTTTAGTAGCGATGGCGTTTCACCATGTTGGCCAGGCTGGTCTCGAACTCCTGACCTCAAGTGATCCACCCACCTCGGCCTCCCAAAGTGCTAGGATTATAGGTGGGAGCCACCACGCCCAGCCAGGAACAATGTCTTAAGGACACATTTCTGTTGGGGGTGGAGTGCGGTAGCAGAGGATGGGGTGAGGGGTGGGAGGTGAAGAGACGGGATGCAGGGGGCAAGGAGACAAGGCGGGAGGCAGGGACATGTGGCTGAAGGGAGAGTAACTCTCTAGAGGGGTGAAGGAGCCTGGGGACCTGGGTTTGGGTCCTGGCTGTGCCTCTGGATGGGGAGGCCTCACTTGTCTTGTCTGCGCCTCAGTCCCTCTCCCTATCAACTGGGGACAGTGATCCCAGACATAAGCAGCTCTCCCAGGGCTCCCTGAAGACCCTTAGTGAGTAAATGTATTTTAGAGGTGATGGGCCAGAGGAGGGTGAGTGGGAAGGGGGAGGACCAGGGAAGCTCCTGGCAAGGAGGAGGGATCTGAGGGGGGCCATCACGACAGGAGCTCCAGGGGGATGGGAGGGGAAACTGAACCCCGGGAGGCAAGGGCTGCCATGGCAGGGCTGGGATTTCATGGAAATGACTCCCAGTGTCCAGGTGGTCCCCATGCCTGGCTTCCTGAACCCAAAGGTATCTGAACCCAAAGTCAGCCTAGGGCTAGCTGAACGGGGTTCGTGGTCATCACAGCAGCCCTGCGAGGTGGAGGGGAGTATCCCCTACGGAGCAGCTGAGGCTCAGAGAGGGCGAGGACTTGCTCAAAGTCACACAGCTAAGAATATTACTAATGATAAGTACAGTGACGATGATGATGATGCCAATGACACGTGGCACCTGCCCTGAGCCAGGCGCTGTTTTATGGGCTGTTTTATGTCATAACTCATTCAAGTGACAGAGATCCTACAGGGTGGTTTGTCGTGATTGTAGGTATCATTCTCAGTGTACAGATGAGGACAGTGAGGGGAGAGTTAAGTAACTTGCCTCACATCACTCAGTGAGTATGTGGTGGAGCCAGGATTTGATCCCAGGCAGTCTGGCTCCGGGTCTGGGTCCCCTTCACCCCACCCTCCAATCCCAGCCGCAGCAGGAGGCAGCTGTTTCCTCTGAATGGGTCTGTGCCACAGGCCAGGAGCTGGGCTTAAGCCCTTTCCTATGCAGCCCTGGCTATGTAATTTGCAGAGCCCAGTATGAAAAGAAAATATGGGGCCCCTGGTTCAAATATTACAAAGAATTTCAGGCCAGGTATGGTGGCTCATGCCCTTAATCCCAGCACACAGAAGCCAAGGCAGGAGGACCTTGATCTTGGAAGTTCAAGCCCAGCTGGGACAACATAGTGAAACTCCCATCTCTACAAAAAGTTTTTAAAAGTAGCTGGGCATGGTGGCATGCACCTGTGGTCCCAGCTATTCAGGAGGCTGAGGTGGGAGGATTGTTAGAGCCAAGGAGATCAAGGCTGCAATGAGCCATGATTGTAGCACTGTGCTCCAGCTTGGATGACAGAGATTCTGTCTCAAATAAACAAAGAATTTCAGCCAGTGTCAGCAGAGCATTAAACCAAGCACTGGGCTTCTCTAAGCACACAGCCCTCCAAGGCATGCATACAACTGGAAAACTGACCTGTGCCTAGATTACCCTGGAGACTCCAACAGTGCTCCAAGAGGCTGCTTGGTGGTCATGCCCATTACACAGAGAGGTGCTTCATTTTGCCCCTGGTCACACAGCAAGTTAGTGGCAGAAAAGGGATGTGAACCTGGGCCTGCCAGATCTCAAAGCCCTTTAACTTGTGCCAAAAATGTGTCCCCAGTTCTTGAAGGAGAAAGAGAGTTGTGGGCTTCCAGGGGGACTCCCTTCACATCCGTGATGTTTGTCTCTCCCCACCCTATGCCAAGGCCCAGGTGGTGTGAATGGCTCCCTTCTCCTCTGCAGGCGCTGAGGATCACGCATCCTGTGACTCTCCCCTGTCCCCCGCCACCCTCTGAACCACTGGCCACCATGGCTACTTCAAAGTTGCCTGTGGTGCCTGGGGAGGAGGAAACCACCATCCTCATGGCCAAGGAAAGGCTGGAGGCCCTGCGCACAGCCTTTGAGTCGGGCGACCTCCCCCAGGCCGCCTCTCACCTCCAGGAGCTGCTGGCCTCCACGGAGAGCACCCGCCTGGAGGTGGGCGTCACGGGCGAGTCGGGCGCCGGCAAGTCCTCCCTCATCAACGCCCTGCGTGGCCTGGGGGCCGAGGACCCTGGCGCAGCTCTCACGGGCGTTGTGGAGACCACGATGCAACCGTCATCCTACCCGCACCCACAGTTCCCCGATGTGACCCTCTGGGACCTGCCAGGGGCCGGCTCTCCAGGCTGCCCGGCGGACAAGTACCTGAAGCAGGTGGACTTCAGCCGCTATGACTTCTTCCTGCTGGTCTCCCCCCGCCGCTGCGGGGCCGTCGAGACCCGCCTGGCCGCCGAGATCCTGTGCCAGGGCAAGAAGTTCTACTTTGTGCGCACCAAGGTGGACGAGGACCTGGCGGCCACACGCAGCCAGCGGCCATCGGGCTTCAGAGAGGCTGCTGTCCTGCAGGAGATCCGAGACCACTGTGCTGAGCGGCTGCGGGAGGCCGGCGTGGCTGAACCTCGCATCTTCCTGGTGTCCAACCTCTCGCCAGCCCGCTACGACTTTCCCACGCTGGTGTCCACCTGGGAACATGACCTGCCCGCCCACCGGCGCCACGCTGGCCTGCTGTCGCTCCCCGACATCTCACTGGAGGCCTTGCAGAAGAAGAAGGCCATGCTTCAAGAGCAAGTCCTCAAGACTGCCCTGGTGTTGGGCGTCATCCAGGCCCTGCCCGTGCCGGGGCTGGCGGCTGCCTACGATGATGCCCTGCTCATCCACTCGCTGCGTGGCTACCACCGCAGCTTTGGTCTGGATGAGGACTCACTGGCCAAGCTGGCCGAGCAGGTGGGCAAACAGGCAGGTGACCTGCGCTCTGTCATCCGCTCCCCGCTGGCCAATGAGGTCTCGCCTGAGACTGTCCTGCGGCTCTATTCCCAGTCATCCGACGGCGCCATGCGGGTGGCCCGCGCCTTTGAGAGGGGCATCCCTGTGTTTGGAACGCTAGTGGCTGGCGGCATCAGCTTTGGCGCTGTCTACACCATGCTCCAGGGCTGCCTCAACGAGATGGCCGAGGACGCCCAGCGTGTCCGCATCAAGGCCCTGGAGGAGGACGAGTCGCAGCCAGAGGTCGGCTTGGAAGCGGCCGGTGACAATGGCGTGGAGAAGGGGGGGTCCGGGGAGGGAGGCAGCGAGGAAGCCCCACTCTCAACCCGCAGGAAGCTGGGCCTCTTTCTTAAGTACATTCTGGATAGCTGGAAGAAACACGACTCAGAGGAGAAATAAAGAGTGCAGCCCCGCCCCCCTGCCTCACCCACAAACTAAGTCTTAACAAAATCCAACAAACCAACAAAAAAGGCCAATGTGGTGAATGTGAGGGCTGCAGTTGCCTGGAGGGTGGGTGTGGAGGGAGCCTGCGTCCGGGGCAGGGAGGGGAGCCTGTGTCCAGGGCAGGGCAAAGGAGGGGGCACTGGGGAGGGGAGGAGGGAGGCAGGTGGGCCCAGGGCCAACAGGAGTGTAGTGAAAGGGGACAGGAGTGCCCTGGGGAGGGAGGTTGGAGACATGAATGGTGGGCCCAGGGTTCCCAGGGCTTCTTGGTGGTGTCTTTCTCCCCGGTCCCCAAGGGGCCAGGAGGAATTTGTGGGGCACAGGACAGCAGGGCCAAGACAGGAGATTGTGTCCTGCTAAGGTACTATTTAATTTAATTTAATTTATTTTATTTTATTATTTTTTGAGATGGAATCTTGCTCTGTCACCCAGGCTGGAGTGCTGTGGCACGATCTTGGTTTACTGCAACCTCCACCTCCCGAGTTCAAGCAATTCTCCTGCCTCAGCCTCCCAAGTAGCTGGAATTACAGGCACACGCCACCACGTCCAGCGAATTTTTGTATTTTTGGTAGACAGGGGGTTTCACCATGTTGGCCAGGATGGTCTTGAACTCCTGACCCCAGGTGATCCGCCAACCTTGGCCACCTAAAGTGGCGCCCGGCCTGATTTTTGTATTTTTAGCAGAGATGGGGGTTTTGCCATGCTGGCCAGGCTGGTCTTGAACTCCTGACCTTGGCCTCTCAAAGTGCTGGGATAATAGGTGTGAGCCACTGCACCTGGCCCCTGCTAAGGTACTTTAGTTTCAATCTCATGTCCCTTTCTGAGAACCCAGTGTACCAAAGACAGCCCCGGGGCCTGGGATGAGCACAGTGGTGTCCAGCGTGGCTAAACAGGTTGGGGAGAGTGGGCATCTGTGCCTGCCTGCTGCTTGGGAGCCTTGGAGGGGTGGGGGGTAGCAGGGAGAGGGAGGGCAGGTGGCCACAGGGCTCACCTCTGTGTGGTGCTTGAGGAGACAGAGAATGGCATGGGGAGAGAGTGACTGGATGTTTCCTTGAATATCGGAGGGGAGAGGAGGCTGAGAACACAGCTCCATGGCCTAGCATGAGTCTCACTCCAGAAGGATGGAGGGTATGTCTCAGAGCAGGAAGGCACATGGAGTTGAGACATCTGGCGTGTCTGTGATTGGGAAGAATCCTGGTCTCTCCATGACTAAAAAAAAATTTTTTTTTTAGAGACAGGGTCTTGCCCTGTCGCCCAGGCTGGAATGTAGTGGCATAATCACAGCTCCCTTCAGCCTTGACTTCTTGATTTTGATGCTGTGAGTCTAAGATTGTGACACATTTGCTGAGTTTGGGGTCACCTGTCTCTGTGGGATTGGACTGGGGTGTGCGTGTGTGAATACTGGGACCTGCTGAAAGGCCCTGGGTCTTAACGTGAGGGCAACTGTGTTGAGGTTTCTGACCAGCCTGGCCAATATGGCGAAACCCCATCGCTATTAAAAATACAAATATTAGCTGGTGTGGTGGTGCCTGCCTGTAGTCCCAGCTACTCGGGAGGCTGAGGCAGGAAAATCGCTTGAGATCCGGAGGCGGAGGTTACAGTGGGCTGAGATTGTGACCCTGCACTCCAGCCTGGGTGACAAGACTCTGCCTCAAAGAAAAAAAAAATGCTAAGTTTAGAGATTCATGTCTACATTTTTATTTTTCACTTTGACACACTCAAACCCAACTTCTCCCTGCTCAAGACCAAATTAAAAAGTAACCATAACAATAAAAGTCATAACAATGCCGAGTGTCTGAGGCATCACCAGTAATAATACTGAGAGCTTAACCACATGCCAGGCTAAGTACTTCATATTAGCTAACATTTATTCATCACTGCTAGGTACTCCTGGCTCATAACAGCCTGGAAAAGAAGCTTCTCTTACTGTTTACATTTGGCAGTGAGAGAATGATTAACTTGCTCGGTCAGGTGTGGTGGCTCATGCCTGTAATCCCAGCACTTTGGGAGGCCGAGACGGGTGGATCACCTGAGGTCAGGAGTTCGAGACCAGCCTGACCAACATGGTGAAACCCGTCTCAACTAAAAATACAAAAATTAGCCAGGCGTGGTGGCAGGCACCTGTAATCCCAGCTACTTGGGAGGCCGAGACAGGAGAATCACTTGAACTGGGGAGGCAGATGTTGCAGTGAGCCAAGACTATGCCACTGTACTCCAGCCTGGGCAACAGAGCAAGACTCTTTCTGAAACAAACAAACAAAAACCTTGCCCAAGGCTGTTGTAGGGAGGTGTCAACCAGTATTTGTCCAAGCTTCTATTATCTAATTATGGCATTGCTGGAGACCATCAACAATTAAAGGATTAGGAGCATAAGTTATTTTTGCTTTTTTTTTTTTTTTGGTGAGACAAGGTCTTGCTTTGTCATCAGGCTGGAGTACAGTCACATGATATCAGCTCACTGCAACCTCCACCTCCAGGGTTCAAGCGATTCTCCAACCTCAGCCTCCTGAGTTGCTGGGATTACAGGCACGTGCCACAACATCTGGCTCATTCTTGTATTTTTAGTAGAAATGGGGTTTCCCTATGTTGGCCAGGCTGGTCTTGAACACCTGGCCTCAAGTGATCCTCCCGCCTCGGCCTCCCAAAGTGCTGGGATTACCGGTATGAACCACCATGCCCAGCGTATTTTTTCATTTAGTTAAATTGGTTTTTTTGCAATTTTAAAATCTAATTTCAAAGTCTTTTCTGTAGACTGTAGTCACTGTTAGGGTGAAACAGTAAATCTGAACATGTAAGTCTCAAAGTTTCACTCTGTGGCTGGGCGCAGGGCTCATACCTGTAATCCCAGTACTTTGGGAGTCCAAGGCAGCAGGATTACTTGAGCCCAGGAGTTGAAGACCAGCCTAGGCAACATGGTGAGACCCTGTCTCTACAAAAAATTAGCCAGGTATGGTGGCACATGCCTGTAGGCCTAGCTACTCAGGAGGCTGAGGTGGGAGGATCACTTGAGCCTGGGAGGTCAAGGCTGCAGTGAGCCACGATCGTGCCACGGCACTCCAGCCTGGGTGACAGAATCAGATCCTATCTCAAAAAAAGAAAAAATAGGCTGGGCGTGGTGGGTGGCTCATGCCTTTAATCCCAGCACTTTGGGAGGCCAAGGTGGGCGGATTACTTGAGGTCAGGAGTTCAAAACCAGCCTGGCCAACATGGTGAAACCCCATCTCCACTAAAAACACACAAATTAGCCAGGCGTGGTGGCGGGCACCTGTGATCCCAGCTACTCAGGAGGCTGAGGCAGGAGAATCGCTTGAACCCAGGGGGCGGAAGTGGCAGCGAGCCGAGATCGCGCCACTACACTCCAGCCTGGGCAACAAGAGCGAAACTCTATCTCAAATAAATAAACACGAAAGATGTGAATACAGAAGTCAATGCTCTTTAGTTTGGCAGCACAGGGACTGGTGAGAAGGACTTAATATGGACCTTTCTGGTAAGGCTGGATACGACTCTTGTGTAGACAAAGTCGCCGGGCTGCAGATCATTGCGCTGTAGGTCTTTGTCTCCTATGAATGTGCTGTGGAAAGATTGTTCTATCAAAGTATGATTTCTATCCATTGCTTTAATGCCTTTACTTTATTCAGGCTTTATTAATATTGGAGCATGTCTGTTTCGTTTTTGTTTTTGTTTTGAGACAGTGTCTCCCTCTGGTGCCCAGGCTGGAGTACAGTAGCGGGATCTCAGTTCATTGCAACCTCTGCCTCCCGGGTTTAAGTGATCCTCCCGTCTCAGCATCCCTAGTAGCTGGGACTACAGGTGCACACAACTACGCCCAGCTAATTTCTGTGTTTTTGTAGAGACAGGGTTTTGCCATGTCACCCAAGCTGGTCTCGAACTCCCAGACTCAAGCAATCCCCTTGCCTCAGCCTCCCAAAGTGTTAGCGTGAGCCACTGCACCCAGATGGGTATGTCTCCTTTTATCAATTAAGGGTCAAAAGCAGGGAAGCCCAAGTGCATAGGATGGCCTGTGACTATTTCAAAAGGTGAAAGTTTATGAGCCCCAAAGAGTGGCCCTTAGATTTAATAATACCAAAGGAGGAACTTAGGTCAAGGAAGATGTAGATAAATTCTGCCAACTGGGTTTTTTGTTTTTGTTTTGAAATGGAGTCTCACTCTGTCGCCTAGGCTGGAGTGCAGTGGCTTGATCCCAGCTCACTGCAACATCTGTTCCCTGGGTTCAAGCAATTCTCCTGCATCAGCTTCCCTAGTAGCTGGGATTACAGGCGTGTACCACCACACCCAGCTAATTTTTGTATTTTTAATAGGGATGGGGTTTCACCATGTTGGCCAGGCTGGTCTTGAACTCCTGATTTCAAGTGATCTGCCTGCCTTGGCCTTCCAAAGTGCTGGGGTGTGATCTGCCTGCCTCGGCCTTCCAAAGTGCTGGGGTTACAGGGGTGAGCTACCGCGCCCGGCCATCCAATTGGGTTTTTATAGTTCCACTTGTTTGTTCCACTGAGCCAGAAGATTGGGGATTGTAGACAGTGGAAATGCTGAAAAATTGGCCAAACTGAACGCACTTGTTTTATTATATGGCCAGTAGAATGGGCTCCTGATCATGATGTACTTCAAGGGGAGTTCCCTAGGTGAGAATCCTTTTTTTTCCAGAAGAATTTTGGCCACAGCTGAAGCAGTGGCTTGTCTACCAGGAAAGCCTCTACCTAATAGGAGAATGTGCAAACCATTACTAGTACATATATATATATAAAAAAATAGTATATATACACATATATATAGTACATATATGGTATATATACACTATATAGTACATATATAGTATATATACATATATAGTTATATATACATACATGTATATATACTATACATAGTAGTGTATACACATATGTAGTACATATATAGTATATATACACATATATAGTACATATATAGTATATATACGTACTATATATAGTACATATATAGTATATATATACACACACTCACATACACATGGAAGTGGGTAGTTGGATAAAATCCATTTGCCAAACCTTGAAGGGCCTATTAGGTAGATAAAAATGTCCAGGATCAGGATATACACATTTTCCTGAGTTAAACTTACGGCAGGCGGCAGAAGTCAAATAGGCTTTTTTTTTTTTTTTTTTTTTGCCGTGTTTTTGTTTTTTGTTTGTTTGTTTTTTGAGAGAGGGTCTCACTCTGTCACCCAGACTGGAGTGCAGGGGCACGATCTCCGCTCATTGCAGCCTTGATCTCCTGAGCTCAGGTGACTCTCCCACCTCTGCCTCCCCAGCAGTTGAAACTACTTCTTTGATATTTTTAGTGGAGACAGGGTTTCGCTGTGTTGCCCAGGCTGGTCTTGAACTCCTGGACTCAAGCAATCGGCCCGCCTCAGCCTCCCAGAGT